GGCATTTAGCTCAGCAGCACAGTGCCTGCCTGGCAAGCGTGAGGTTGCGAGTTCAATTCCCAGTACTGGAAAAAAGCCAAAAGAAAAAAAAAAAAGAATTAAGCAGGGCTTTAATTTGGGGCTGGGGATACAGCTCAGTGGCATAAGCGGCTGCCTGGCAAGCGCAAGGTCCTGAGTTTGATCCCCAGTACCAAAAAAAAAAAAAAAAAAATTGAATATTTCTAGAACTAGTGGGATACTTTCTATGAACAAAAATAAACCCGTAGTCCCAACATTTGGGAGGCTGAGTCACAAGGATCACAAGTTCAAGCCCATAAAAAAATTCAGATGTGTTATGTACAAGTACCAACTCCCTGTGATGAATGTAATCATTATGTATTGCAAATGTACTAGTAAAAACAAAAAGGTCAAGCCTGGACTGTGCTACATAGAGATACCTTGTCTCTAAATATTTATTTATTTATTTTTTGGTACCAGGAATTGAACTCAGGACCTTGAGCTTGCCAGGCAGGCACTTATACCACCGAGATAGATCCCTGGCCCACCTTGTCTCTAAATAAATACATTAAATAAATAAATAAGTAAGTAAATAAAATAAAAGGCCAACTTGGCTAGGGTGTGTGGCTCAGTGATAGAGTACATACTGAGCATGTGCAAGCCCCTGGGTTCAAAAAAATGTTCACTATGGGGTTGTAATTTTGTTTTGTTTTTTGGTACTGGGATTCAAACTCATGACCTCACGCTTGCCAGGCAGGAGCTGTGCCACTGAGCTATATCCCCAGCCTGGGGCTACAATTCTTATATCTTGCTTCTGGCTGCTCTGATTTCAATTTTACTGTCCTGCTGGCTTGAGTGACTGGTGGCACATGCATGACTATCTGAAAAAATGGGTGCAATGGGGCTGCAAAAAAAAAGCCAATTGTATTATAATGTTTTGTGCACTCTGCACAAATTAGTTGCCTTTGTAATACAACAATATAATTAAGAATATACATAAATTTATTTTAATTTAATGAAATAAATTTGTTTATTATAGTTTTAATTGGTATACATACTATTAATATTTGTGCAGTTAATTACTCAACTTCAAGCAACTAAATAGATTTAGTCCATTTATCAACTTTATTAATTTTATTAGTAAAAAGACTAATAAAAATGATTTTATCCATTTGTATCACCAGTACTACAAGCTACTAATGGCACAGTCATGCATGTACCACTAGTGTGGTTCAAGTCAATGGGAATGTGTTAAATTCTCAGTACTCCCATTATTGACATTGGTGCTCATATTATTATTCTGGAACTGTGAGGTAAAGCAAATGAGTAATTATTCTGGAATAGGTAGTATAGCATAGAAGACAATATATGGAAGTAAGATTTTGAGGAGGCTAAGTTAAAATTCTGTGGTTCTGAAATTGAACTGAAAATATCCAAAATGGAGGCCAGGTATAGTGGCATACACCTGTAACCCCAGCATTTGGAAGGCTGAGGCAGATGAATCATGAACTTGAAGCCAGTCTGGGCAACATAGCAAATTTGAAGTCGGCCTTGAGGCAGGAGATTGGGGTGGGGCAAACTGGCTGGAAAAGTAGGCGTGACTTGTCAGTCATATAGACTCAACACAAATCCCAAATTCTGCACCTGGGACCAATTAGAAAATGCTATCTTCCATTCTTTATTTACAGCTGGCACTAAATCAAGCAGGGTTTTTACAAGATGGGCTAGATCTGATGTCAGGCTGAGGAATGAGAGATACAAAAGACCATTGTCATTAACCTCATAGCCACTGTGAGCTTCTTCCAGTGTCCCACTCTCACTCTGCAAAGTGTACTTCTTTTGCCACTTTTTTTCTCAAGACAGGGGCTCGTTACGTGTTTCAGGCTGTCCTTGAACTCACTAGGTTGGCCTGGAACTTGCAGAGATTCTCCTGCCTCAGGCTCCCAAGTACTGAGATTATAGGCATGTGCTACCAGCCCCGCCTATAATGATACTTTAAAAAAAACTCAGTCACCTGTGGACTTTGGAGGATACTAGGAAACTCACATATTTTGCCAAGCAGGTGCGTTTCCACTGAGCTATATTCCCGGCATGGAAATTCACATATCTTGAAAGCTGGTAAATGAAGGAAAAGAATTAAAGCTTTGCTATGTGAACTGTACTTCAGAGTAATCAAATAGTTGATGAAAAGTTTCTCTTTGCAGGAGTATTTTGGTTCATAAATGAAAGTGAGTGTTATTACCATGCAACCCCTAATGAAATGATGACCTAGTGGGCTCAAACGATAATTATAAAGAAAGCAGGGGCTGGGGATTTAGCTCCGCGGCAAAAGCGCCTGCCTGGCAAGCGCAAGGTCGTGAGTTCGGTTCCCGGTACCGGAGAAAAACCAAAAAAAAAAAAAAAAAAAAAAAAAAAGAAAGCAAACGGCTCAAAAAGAAAGATTCCTATTAACTTAAGCAAGGCTCTGGATTGAACTATCATTTATAGGAAATACAGAGTATAGAACAGTATTTAAATGTCCCTACAGGACCAGTTTACAAAACCGAGACTCTGGGCAAGTTATCCTCAAATGGCCTGGTTTCTTTAACAAGTAAATGCTGGGGTCGAGGTTGGGAAGCAGAGGGATAAGAAAGCTAAAAGAATTAAAGATTAAAAAACACACCAACTAAATTTTATTTTGAGACTGATTCAAACAAGAGACTTTTTTCTGTTTTTGGAGATACTCAGGATTGAACCCAGGGTCTTCACACTAAGCTACATCTCCAGCTCTTTTTAATTTAATTTAATTTTAATTTTATATTATTATTTTCTTGAGGTCTTACTATATAGTATAGGCTGGCCTTGAACTAGCTTATGTAGCCCAAGATGGCCTCAAACTCACAGTGATCCTCCTGCTTCAGCCTCCAGAGCACTGGGATTACAGGTGTGTGCCACCATGCCTAACTTTATGTTTTATTTTGAGACAGGGTCTCCAAGTTGCTTGGGCTGGACTCAAATTTGTAACCCTCTTGCCTCAGCCTCCCAGAGTGCTGGGATTACATGTATGTATTACTTCACCCAGTACAAAAAAGCTGGGCAGGTACAGATATGCACACCTACTATCCCGGCTCCTTGGCAGGCTGAGGTAGGAGGATTGCAAGTTTGAGGCCATCCTGTGTAAATCAGTGAGACCTGTTCCAAAATAAAAAATAAAAAAGGGCTCAAGATGCAGCTTAATGGTTGATCACCCCAAGATTTAATCTGCAGCACGGGAGTATGGAGAGAAATACATATTTTGAAATTATTTTACTTTTTCCCTCAAAACTTAGCTGTTGTTTCCCGGATAACTTAGGCTAAAACTCGAAGACTACCATGACCTCATGCTCCTTCATGATTCTCCCTCTGTCAGTCCACTCTACTTCCATTGGCTTTCTCCTATTCCCAGAATATTTCAAGAGGTCCTCAGCCTTTGCTCTGGCAGCTGCATGCCTCTCCTTTCACAACCTTCAGATTTTTCTCAAGGGTCACCTTCTCAGTGAGGCCTCCCCTAGTCATGTTATCTAAAATTTCATCACTTCTCACCTCCTATCTCCTTTCCTGATTTATGTTTTTCTCCTTAGCTAATCTGATAAAACTAATCTGATACACTATTTTACTAAATAGTTTTACCTACTTATCACTAGTCTCTCTTCCCAGGCTTGTGAGGCCAGACGTTTTGTCTGTTTTCTTCCTTGCTGTCCCTAGTGCCTACAGCAACGACTACCTAATGGAAGCTTTCTTAGGGGACCTTGTTAAATAATTGAGTACCTACATCACCCCTTTCCTTCCTTTCTTCAAATCTATTAAAATGTCACTTTGTCCATCAGTAAAGGCTTTCTTGAAGATCTTATATAAAATAGCACCTTTCCTCCACAGACTGTATTACTGTATCTCCCTTCTCTGATTTTTTTTTCATACTTAGCATCGTTTGACATGTTATATGTTTAGGTTTTTTTTCCCCTTTCCCTGCAGATCCTAATTTGCATGAAGACAGGGACTTAGTTGTGTTGGCCACTGTTTTCTCAACTCCTTAGGTCAGTCCTGGACACTCTGTAAGTGTGCAATAGCTATTTCTTAAATGAACCAATAAACCAACTGTGGTCAGATACCATTCCCTATGTTACCATAAATACTGCCAAGCTGGTTGTGAGATTGAATCGAAAGTCCCCAGTGAACACTCCAAATTCATCTTCAAACTCCAAACACGTGCTTCTTGCTAGGACTCGCAGAACATCTGCTTTGCCCATTTCGTTCTTGCCCCTAAAACTTAACGACTACAGTATTGAGCTCAGGCCAACTCAGCCAAGAGAAATACTCAGCACAAGGCTAGGGTTGGTGGTGTACACCTATAATCCCAGCACTCGGGAGGCTGAGGCAGGAGAATATCTGAGTTTGAGGCAAACCTGCGATACATAGTGAGTTCAAGGCTTGGCTGACTTACTCAGTGATACCCTGTCTCAAAAGTAGAGTTTATCACATTATTTTGTAGACTTTCGGACTTTAAACAAAACAGATTTACTTGTCTCAGCCTCACTCAAAAGAAACAAAGCCTAGCGGAGAAAAACAAACTCAGCAAGGAGGAGCCTAAAACGGAGTAAGGGGCGGGACCGAGCGTCTGCCCGCCCACCAGGCTACGGATTGGCCGAAGCTCAGGGGTACCGCCCTTATCGCGGGGCCTCGCGAGTCTGGGCGGAGGCGTCCCAGGAGGCATGTGGGGCGGAGCAAAGTAGGGCGGGCCAGACGTCCTCCGCCCACCCTATTCAGGATTGGCCGAGGCTCAGGCGGGACCGCCTCTCCTGGGCCGAGGCGGGAGCCCGAGTGTGGTGTCCTGGGAGGCGGGGCGAGCGTGGGAGGAGCCGCGTGCGCTCCCGCCCGTAGGACTCAGATTGGTCAAGTATCAGCGGGCCCCGCCCCTGCCAGCCAGCCGCGCGGCCTGGGCGGGGCGTCCCGGGAGGCTCGTGCTCAGTCCTGGCGGGCGGGCGTGGCGGGCGTGGAGGGCGCGGCCGGGGCAGTGCTTGGAGCTGGGGCCGAGGATGCGGCCGCTGACCTGGTCTGCCGGTCTTGGGTGTGGCTGAAGGATGGCGGGCGTGCGGGTGGCCGTGAGGGTGCGGCCCCTCAGCAAGAGGTGAGACTGAGCGTGAGGGGGCGCCTGAGGCACAGAGGGAGCGAGAGTTGCGCGAGGACCCCGCCTCCGTCGCGGAAGCTTCTGGCGCTCAGACACAAAGTGACCGGGGCTCGGTCCGGAACCAGCGCCTGGCGGGCGGGAGCCTCCGGGCGGGCCCGGGCTGGCC